GGAATGCTCTTCTACATTTGACACTGCTTGCAAGAAAGATGACGCCACAGCTGACACCAGGCTTGCTTCTAATACTATCATCTCCAGTACCGAGAGGTGATGAAAAGCTGCAGATCAGAACATTATGATTGCGGCCCTCATCCTTCATTCTGGCCTTAAACTCAGGCCATTTAATGCAGATGAGAATTTCAGCTATGCTGATATTTTCATGCTAATGGCAAGAGTTTGGCTACACCTATTTTCCAACTGTTCTACATCTCCATCCTCGCTAGAAAACAACATCACCAACTACTTGAATGAGACAGGTCAGTATAAGTCTATGACTGGCTTATATCAGATGAAGGTGTAAGCACTCTGGAAAGAAGAGCTAAAGCAGCAAGTGCAGTGGTCAAAGTACAGCAAAACCTCAATCAACAGTGATATGTGCTTAGAGTTAGATAATATCACTGCTTTATTGACTCAGTATTGCAACTTGAATGTAGCAGAAAGGCATTGATCTGGCAGAGATATGGCAGAAATGCAAGCGTAACAGCCCACTGTCTCCACTTAAATAGCTTGCCAAGATTATTTTAGCTATTTGCCCTAATACTGGCTCAGTTGAGCAATTATTCAGCCTGCTCAAGCTCATTCTCATGTCTACCTGCTCATGGCTGTCCTCTAAGAACCTTTCCATTTTAGCCAGACTCAACATCTGTATCTGCTATGAATATAAGTCAGACAGAACTATTACCGAGTGGCTGAAACAGCAGCAGAGGCAGTATATTGATATTTTCAGTAGTCACCAATGCAAGTGTCGCTACCCCATCACACGGTCTTGAAGTCGTAGCTACATCAACAACGTTACAGCAGCAGCCATCAGCAGACCCCCTTCCAACCTCAGAACCATCTGGCACCTCTGTGCCACCACCCTTGAATGACGACTCCGACTTATTGGTGGCTGCCGAGCAGAAAGCCACTCTCGTACATGTTCACTCACTCAACCGCATTACAGACAATCTGATGCAGCAGTCAGAGCAAAATGCTCAGGCACTGACTCAGATGGGCACAACTCAACTTATGGGGCCAGTGCACTACGGCTGTCTGTACCAGATCTTGCTCGCGCGCATGTTCAACTACAAGCAAGCTTACTGGATGGACATAGTGAAGAAATAGGGTCTTCAAGGCCTGGAGAAGGAGTTGGATGCATATAGAATTATTGATGTGCACGCCTGTAGTGACAGTGGCCCAGAAGAAGCAAATTTGTACTCATAATATTACTACTATAGCCTACAAACTTGTTTTACTGCTACGGATGACTTTAAGACATCGGTGTGATGGCGTTTTGAACTCTGATTAGCCAGTAGCCCTTGCCATGATGAGAACCCAGCGAACTGCTTGGTCTCAGTCACAGTCATACTGATTTGTGACTAGTCAGTGACCAAAATGACTAGTTACTAACTCAGTCACTAACCGGCACAACACTAGACAGTACAGAGTTTCTAGAGATGGCACCTGTAGCCATGCCACAAGGTGGCTGGAAGCTTTGATTACTCAGGCTCCACTCAAGTTGGACTGAAATACTCTTGTGGTCTAGTGTCTGAGCATGAAGACAGGACAGGGCTTTTGGAGATGGCCCCTGTAACCATGCCACAATGTGGCTGGAGGCAGTTATATTCCAGCCTCCACCTAATCTGAACTGGGAGGCTCTTTTGGTCTAGCCTGTCTGAGCCAGAAGACAGGACAAGGCTTATATAAATGGTGCCTGTTACTATTTCATTCCATGTGTTCAGTTCAAGACCCGCACTAAAAGTTTCTAAACACGAGAGAAATTTGGAACTTTTTTATCGCAAAAAATATGCTAAAACAGCTTGAAAAAATAAGTAAGAAAATGTTGTATTTTTTGCTCGGTATCCGGCAATCCGGCAATTCGGCAATTCGGCAGCTGAGCCGATTATCGTCTGGGTGCCGCCGTTCCCGGGCGCTTTGATAAATGGCCTGGTGGACAATCAGCTCGGCTGCCGGATTGCCGAGTTGCCGGGCTGCCGGATACCAAGGAAAAAATACGATATTTCCTTACTTATTTTTTCAAGCTGTTTTGGCATATTTTCTGTGACAAAGAAGTTCCAAATTTCTCTCGTGAAAGTGAATCTATCTAAGAAGGTGCCATCAAAAGGTAGCAAACAAGGCAGAAAATAAGAGGCAAGCCAAATCTCCATGAACACTTGAAGAAGTTACACTTGTGAAGCATGTTGTAAGCAAAGGCTAGGATGATGTGGGCTGCAGCACAAGTGCTTGGCGGGTACAATTTCTTTATTTCTTGCCATACTACAAAACTTCTTTCTATTATTTGCACTGTCTTAATATGAATCTTTTGCTCATGACATCAATGTCAGTGTTTATACAATAGTAATATTTTATAATAACAACAGAAGCTAACTTTATATCTAGTATAGTAATATGCAGGGCAAGGCTCAAAGTTTATAAGCTTTAGAGGCCTGGTTCAGAATTTCAAGCTAAGCTTGGACCCCATCAAAAAAACTCAAAGGTGCAAACAAAGGCACTTACTTTTAAAAAATCTGAAATATACTGGAATTTAATAGAATAGCACCACTAAATGCTAGTGAGTGCATATTACTTTAGATGTGGATGATCTTGCTATACAAAGAGATATGATACATAATGTATGAGTGTAAATATCTATTATATTCATTACAAGCCTTTTAATCTACCAGCCTATACATGTAAGGTCAGTTCATATTTACTTAATGCTACACTGCCTGGTGAAAACTTGTGATAATGATCTCTTAAGTACAATTAGAGTTTAGATAGAGATTAAATATTGAATGAGCTAGTTTATATGCTATACTGCACCTGTCTCATGTACACTTAGCTGCTTAAATGCATAAAAACAGCATAGCTTACTGGATTATCTAATCAGGATGCACAATACATATGGCTTGCCCCAAACTAAGAGACTGTTGAGTCAAATTGCATAAGTACCAGGAAGTCTTCTTGAACTGATAGCACTTCTTAATTTTCACTGCCTTTTTTTCTCCCATGAATGAGCCAAAACATCTATTTTGCAGACTCCATTTGATTTCGAGTTTTTGCTGAAAGGATTTTTCTTCTTCGTATCAGAATATAGCTTCCTCTATAGATCTTCCATTATTCTTTTCAAGATCAAATTTTTTTAAGATCATAGTTCCAAGGTTTTGAACCTTTTAGATTTGCTTTCAAATTGCTTGAGATTATAAATCTAAGCTAACTTTGGATGTACTAAACCTTCACTTACATAATGCTCAGATCTTTTGCTGGCCATTTCAATTCATTTCACTTTTATGTTAAGACTGTCAGTGATAATCACACTCCAACACTAACTATAGCTAGAATAGCTCTGGTAGTGACTTAAATAGGTAATTACAAAAGGTAGGCAAGAATAACTATAGGCTATAGCTAAG